AATCTAATCCAAAAATAAATTACAATATTTGCAGAAATCTTATTTGAATTTACGTTTGCATGGTATACTAGTAAATTTTGACATCAAACTTGGCTCAAAATCAGATGAGTATACGCAGCAATCTGCACTAGCATCGTTGGCTGCATTAATGAGATTAATGGGACCAGAATATTTAAGTCCATTAAGGTATAAAATCTTAGCCACTTTGAGAACCTCATTAGCATTCAAGAGACCAGGATACGGGCCTCTTATATGCGATGCATGGAACGCATTCATTCACAAGTATGTAAAACGCAAAATGAGGTCATACAATGTACATTTTTTATTTATAGCATAATTATTTTTGTTTTTAATTTTCCAGCATAACTATTAAAGAACTAGGTCCACTCCTTCCAACTATATGCATATCATTAATATCATTGTTAAAAATTTATCCTGAAAAAATCATTGCCATGTTGAAATTTCTCGTTATCGAATGCAATGAAGAAAATTCCAATCACACTGCGGAATTATTTTTCATAGATGATATAGATATTCCTGATGAAATTTCAACTATAATTAAGGCGCGTGTTTTACAAGCCAGGTAAGCACAATATATTTCATATGTACCTAATATAAAGTACCCTATTTACTGATTACATTTTATTCTTTTAGACCCAAAGGTTTCGAAGCAAATTTAAAATTATGGCTGAAACGTATCACACATGAAACAGATGAAGTAAGGTCTAGAGCTTTAACATATTTGCAAAAATTCCTAGCAGAACATCGTAGCCAATTAAATCAAATGATTTTGACTGAGACGGATATTCATCCGTTAATAGTTGAGGTAAATTACTTCATGAAATCATAAATGCAATAATCACAAACGCTGTCAATTAATAATTTTTTAGTTGTTAGATACGCTGTTAATTGGTTGTCAGCATAAAGATGAAAACATACGCTTATTATATGGAGAATGTTTAGGAGAATTAGGTGCCATTGAACCGAGTCTTTTACCACGCCGAATAATCTCTAGAGGTATTATTATGAGAATACAACAAAAATCATCCGTATTTACAATAATATTATTTTAATTGTAGATGATTGTAAATTTATCTCTGATATGAATGAAGAATTTGCCTGTGCTATGCTCTTTGAACATGTGCGAGCCTTTCAAATGCAAAAAAGTAGTCACAGTATGGATTGCTTCTCACTTGCCATTCAGGTTTCTATTTTAATACTGTATAATCATTACGTATAAACATACATTTTTTGAAAATATGTACCTTTATAGGAAATCTTAAAAGCATACGAGATTACACCTCAAGGTAAAAACAGTGAACTATGGAACAGTTTACCATTGACTACGAGGCAAATTATTTTTCCCTTTTTAACATCTCATTACAAAATAGCAGCCGTGAGTGACGATAAAATGTTTCCTCATCCTATTTATGGGTAAACACTGAATACAATCTTGATTTCTCGTAAATTACGTTGTACTGATGCCTAATTTTGTTCCTGTAGTTCTGAAGTTGGTTCATCTGTTGAAAATTGGGCATACAGTTGGCTCTGTAGTATGTTTAAAAATATTCACGATGAAAGGCTCAACAGTGTACTGCGTGCGTGCAAATTAGCCCTGAAAAGGGACATAAAAATACTAACATTTTGTCTACCTCATGTTGTGTGTAAGTAGATTAAAAAAACCATTTTAGAAACCTCTATCATATACGTGTAATTTCTCTTCACCAGCGTACATTATAACAAATGGCACGGAACAAGAACACATAAAAATACGAGAGGAAATGTTGACAATAATTGATGTCAGAAAAAAGCCTACTCTTGATCCTGAATTGTCCCGTCATCGGCCTCTTAGAAATGGACACAGCATTAAAGCAGATGACACAAGAATTTCAGAGGAAACTAGACGCATGCGTTGTGCACAGGTTTATAAATTTAATAAAACAATATTGTTGTCATTCCTTGAATAATTGGTTTTTCAATTTTTTGACAGATCGTATTTTCAGTATTAGATCATTTACAAAGATGGTTATGGGAGCAAAGGCTGGATCGTAGTCATAAATATAAAGCAGTAGAAAGTAGGTCATTTAATATGAATTATTAAATGTCAAATGTTCATATAACTACTAATATGTAATAATATTGTAGACTTTTGCGAAGAATTGAATTCACTGATCGTGGCTGAAGGTTGTTATCAGTCCAGAGAATATCATAGAGCTCTAATGTATTTGGAGAAGTACATGGCTTCATCCAACAAAGGATTGTCTGAACCCATGGAAGGTGGACTGCTAGCTGTAAGTAAATCTTTAATGGATCGAATTCTAGAAATATTTAATATTGTTTCTTGTTTTAGAAAATATATGCACAGTTGGATGAGCCAGATGGTATATCCGGTATACTAGCTTCTCAAGATCATACACCAACAGTTCAACAATTAATCTTAGCTCATGAAGTTAATGGACAGCTTCAGGTAACAAGATTTATATTTGAAGATATTCATATTTCTGTGTTTAAAAATAATAAAACCTATAGGACGCAGCTACATGTTATGAAAGACTAGCTCAAAAGAAGACATTGAAACACACCTATCTACAAGGCATGATACAATGCTATCTTGGTCTTGACCAACCATTCACAGCTAAACATATTACCGAAGGAGTTTTAAGTAGCAGGTGATTATATAAAAATATTAAATAATTAATTCATTTAATACAAATATTTTATTTTCATTTCAGACCAGAATTGGAACCACTAATGATCGAAAATGAGCCTTTTTGGAGATTAGCTCATTTTACTAGACTGGATGATACTCCACAGAAGAACATAAAACATAGTCTTTTAGAAGATCTTAAGCAAGGCATGAAGCCAGACTTATTATCATTAAAACAAAATTTAGTAATGCTATTGGAAGACGCATCACGCCCCGGAGCTTATCAACAATGTTACTCCTACATCATGAAGTAAGTGATTTCAAAATTAAAAGACCCTATAGAGGATTACATTGAAATTTTTTATGACTGAGAACAGGTTGCACATATTGAATGAGTTCGATAAGGCAGTGTCCACGATGCTAACGGATATAGACCAGCTTCCAATGATATTCGAAGAGTGGGAGAAGCGTGGTCAGCTTGTTAGATCTTCTCGTGGGGTGGAATTTGTATTAAGCATGCGTAGAGCCACTCTAGACTTAGCAGTTCAATTGAATAAACAAGTTAATGATAGAGAAAATCCTTTTCTTAAACAGGAAATTGGAAAGATTTGGCTCAAGAGCGCCAAAATTGCAAGGAAGTATGAATTTTTTTAAATGAGCTGGGATAATTTTCTTTTTACTGTATCTTAAAATTGTTTTGTCTTGTTAGGAGAGGACTCCATCAGCAAGCATACATGTATATTCTCTCAGCTAGTGACTCCTGTCCGTTACAACAGCTTTACATAGAACAGGCTCAATTGTATTGGCAAAAAGGCTGTCAAGAAGATGCTTTCACGACATTGAAGCGATGCTTCTCAAGCTGTTTCCAATCATCTGCATACTACAAATCATTGTCATCGTCAGAATGCGTTGAAGAAAGGAAACAATGTGCAAAGGTTTGCATGTTAGCTGTTTACTGTTTGCAACAGTTTAAGCTAGCACTGGGAATTCATATTATATTAATTTTTATTTATTTACAGGCGAAGCTTCTGTATGCAAAATATAATGATGAAACTGTGAACGTAGATACTGATGCTAATATTATGAATTATAAAGAGGCTATCGAGGTTTGGAGAGAATGGGAGAAAAGTTTACTTTCATGTGCTCAGTATTATGAATCCGTTATAGAAAGGTTGTCTGATGAAGAAAAGGACAAGAAAGGACGGTAATATCATCTTGGATTTTACGCGAAAATAATTATATAAAAGTAATTTAATCAAGACAAAATTATTCTAGGGATTTACAAGTGCACACTATGAATTTCTATGGGAAATCGCTTCAATATGGTTGTAAATATATTCATCAGTCTATGCCGAGAATGTTGACTATCTGGCTAGATTTTGCTTCTCGTGTAACATCGCGGTCCAACCATAATGTAAACGATGAAATTGAGAAGTTTCGACGCGATGCATTACTAAAAATGACGAAAATCATGGGTAAGTATAAAAGTAGAATTCAGAGATTTAGAGGAAAATTCATTACTGATTTTTACTATATAGAAGTGTATCAAGAACGGCTACCAATATTCATGTGGCTGACTGCGTTCAGCCAACTTGTATCTCGAATATGCCATCCATCGACAGAAGTGCAAAATACTCTTTATACGATATTAGTGAAGTTAATTTTTGCTTATCCTCAACACTGTTTATGGATGATGGCATCAGTTATTAATGTGAGTTCTTAAAGTGCTAATAACTTGAATAGATATTGAATTGATATATTTTTCCAGTCCTCTTATCCTGCGCGACAAAGACGTTGTCAAGCGATTCTAAATAATTCCAAACTAAAAACAGGAGAGATGCTGAAACTCATCAAGGACTTCCACAAATTGTGGGAGAGACTCATTGAGTTGTCTAACAAACCAATACCGGATGTGAGTAAAGAGTGCATTCCGTTAAATTTGCTGAAGTATTATTTACCTTATTGATTTTGCAACAGGGTGTTCTGAACACTACAGTCAGCCAATTATCGCGGAATCTACCTCGTTTACTGTCAACCAAAGACTTCAGCACAATTATGATGCCAACAACTAAATTTAAGCAGCTTCATCTACCCTCTAAGGGTGTATCATTAGAGAACCATAATCCATTTTCATCGTAAGTGAATGAATTTGTGTAAAATTAAATGCAACATCCCTTACGTATTATTTATTATCTAGGAATTGGGTGCATATATCTGGAATAGAAGAAAGTGTAGCTGTTATGCCGTCTCTCCAGAGACCACGACGCATTGCGTTGAAAGGATCAGATGGTAAGAAATACCTATTCATGTGTAAACCAAAGGACGATTTACGCAGGGATTTTAGATTAATGGAGTTCAACGACATAGTAAATAAATATCTACAAAACGACCCTGAATCTCGCCAAAGGAGACTGTACATTCGAACATATGTAAGTTTATAAAAAACGCAAGACATGGGGATCTTCTAACACATATTTTTTCCTTCAGAGCGTAGTACCCTTAAATGAAGAATGTGGTTTAATAGAATGGGTACCGAATTTAGTAGGCTTTAGGCCAGTCATAATCAATTTGTATAAAGAAAGGGGTATCGCCACTTCAAATAGAGAACTCAGAAGCATGTTATGTGGTAAGCAGTTGTCGCTTTAGTATATCTTATGATTATAATAAAATTACTTATCTGATTGTTGAATTATAGCGTTGAAAGATCCTCTGGAGAAGAAGAGGAAAGTGTTCCTAGAACAACTTCTACCGCGACATCCTTCTGTTCTTGGTGATTGGTTCCGTCTTACATTCCCCGATCCATACGGATGGTAGAGTTTTTAATTAATCATACAACGAATATAATAACTTACTATTGCAGTGTAAAATATAGAAAATTTTTTAAATAGGTACGAAGCACGTACCGCATACATCCGAACCACAGCAGTAATGTCCATGGTGGGATATATCCTTGGTTTAGGAGATCGGCATGGGGAGAATATACTATACGACTCTAAATGTGGTGATTGTGTACACGTGGATTTCAACTGTTTATTCAACAGGGTACAGGCGATGCATCATGCTAATTAAATACTATACACGCTCATTATAAATAATGAATAGATATTTACAAAGTCAAACCTTAATTACCAGGGAGAATTGTTCGATTGGCCAGAGCGAGTGCCGTTTCGTTTAACGCATAACATGGTGGATGCTATGGGACCATTAAAAATTGAGGGACCATTTAGACGTGCTTGTGAAACTACTATGAGGGTTCTTCGACAACAATCCAGCACGTTACTAAGCGTGCTCACACCGTTTGTTTATGATCCACTTGTCAGCTGGAATAAAAATCAAACCTGCGAGGGCGGTGAAAAAACAAATGAAAAGGTAAAACACTGAAGAATCCTCTGAATTGTGCATGATGTAAAATACAATATCAATGTTTTAGGCTGTGGAACACATAAAGAATATAGAACAGCGATTGAAAGGCCTGATTCGATCCCATGGAAAGAAATTGGAAAACATTGCGCTAAATCTGAGTGTCGAGGGGCAAACAAATCATCTGATTTTAGAAGCAACAAACTTAGATAATCTTTGTCAAATGTATTTCGGTTGGGGTGCGTACATGTAATGAGTGTACAACAGGATACTTGACCATTCAACGTTTGTATGTAATATAGTTATTCGTCAAATATTTCTAATTATAAAAACCAATTCTTGAGTCTTAAGCTTCCAAACCGAAGCTACGGAACATCATGAAATATGATAGTGCAGTACTGAGAGTCTGCAAAATGTATAGAAATAATGTATGTAATGTTTGTACATCGTAAGCAGTATCATAATATTAAAAATTTTATATGATTTTATACGTAGATATGTAAATCAACTTTTACCGCACTGAAGTTTTCTAAATGCATAATATACAGTTTCCCTGCTGTAATGTAACTAGGTTTTTGCGAACGTAACATGATCATCCATGTTTCACACCTGATAGAAGTGGATAATCTATACCATTGTATAGAATACACAGCTTGACGTATGCCACTACTCTGTTACAATACGTAATAATTTCAAATTAAAAATTTCATTTTGTATTGAATAATATGATTCACGTTCGTTTGAAATTCATTTTACCTGAGAGATTAACATATCCCCAGGCAAACAGAAAAGCAGTAATTGGAACACTGCCATTATTAAATGAGAACCATATCTCATTAACTTAGATTGATCCATTAATGTCTATAATCAAAGTAATCTATAATAGAAGTTTTAAAGTTAGTAAGAAGTTTTAAAATTGTCCTTACTGTAGAAACTTGTAAACCGACAAAACAGAATATGAGACTACTGGCCAGAGTTTGCAGTAACAGCATCAGATGAAAATTTTTTTCCATATTGTCACAAAACCTAAATTTTATTAGACTGAATAAGAGAATCACTTACATACAAGTATTAAGTTGACTTACCAAAGTATCACTTGATGATGCTTAATAATGTGCGCTATTTGAATCTTTATTCTGCACGAAATTGCACTTATGCTTTCTGAATTATTTTTTAAATTATTCAACTATAAAATATCATATCTTTTTAGATCATTGTTTAGTTGGGGCGTAACATAAATGATGTTATACTTACACAGTAAATATCTGAGTCTACTTGCTTTAAATTCTCTTTAAGTATTTGAAAATGACCACATGTGTGGAGTAAAGCACTTGCAATTAAAGTGTCGGTTGCAAGAATCATCAAACCACAAATACTTGTTGCTATCATTTGAGATATATAAACCGTCTATATGTACATATAGCCAAATAGAATTTTGTAACAATACATTTACATTAAAAAGAAAAAGTGGCAAACAATACCTCATAGTATGGAAAGTTATAAAAACCCGAAGGATATGTTGCAACAAATGGAAAGTCTTTTAGAACAGTNTGGATGCTATGGGACCATTAAAAATTGAGGGACCATTTAGACGTGCTTGTGAAACTACTATGAGGGTTCTTCGACAACAATCCAGCACGTTACTAAGCGTGCTCACACCGTTTGTTTATGATCCACTTGTCAGCTGGAATAAAAATCAAACCTGCGAGGGCGGTGAAAAAACAAATGAAAAGGTAAAACACTGAAGAATCCTCTGAATTGTGCATGATGTAAAATACAATATCAATGTTTTAGGCTGTGGAACACATAAAGAATATAGAACAGCGATTGAAAGGCCTGATTCGATCCCATGGAAAGAAATTGGAAAACATTGCGCTAAATCTGAGTGTCGAGGGGCAAACAAATCATCTGATTTTAGAAGCAACAAACTTAGATAATCTTTGTCAAATGTATTTCGGTTGGGGTGCGTACATGTAATGAGTGTACAACAGGATACTTGACCATTCAACGTTTGTATGTAATATAGTTATTCGTCAAATATTTCTAATTATAAAAACCAATTCTTGAGTCTTAAGCTTCCAAACCGAAGCTACGGAACATCATGAAATATGATAGTGCAGTACTGAGAGTCTGCAAAATGTATAGAAATAATGTATGTAATGTTTGTACATCGTAAGCAGTATCATAATATTAAAAATTTTATATGATTTTATACGTAGATATGTAAATCAACTTTTACCGCACTGAAGTTTTCTAAATGCATAATATACAGTTTCCCTGCTGTAATGTAACTAGGTTTTTGCGAACGTAACATGATCATCCATGTTTCACACCTGATAGAAGTGGATAATCTATACCATTGTATAGAATACACAGCTTGACGTATGCCACTACTCTGTTACAATACGTAATAATTTCAAATTAAAAATTTCATTTTGTATTGAATAATATGATTCACGTTCGTTTGAAATTCATTTTACCTGAGAGATTAACATATCCCCAGGCAAACAGAAAAGCAGTAATTGGAACACTGCCATTATTAAATGAGAACCATATCTCATTAACTTAGATTGATCCATTAATGTCTATAATCAAAGTAATCTATAATAGAAGTTTTAAAGTTAGTAAGAAGTTTTAAAATTGTCCTTACTGTAGAAACTTGTAAACCGACAAAACAGAATATGAGACTACTGGCCAGAGTTTGCAGTAACAGCATCAGATGAAAATTTTTTTCCATATTGTCACAAAACCTAAATTTTATTAGACTGAATAAGAGAATCACTTACATACAAGTATTAAGTTGACTTACCAAAGTATCACTTGATGATGCTTAATAATGTGCGCTATTTGAATCTTTATTCTGCACGAAATTGCACTTATGCTTTCTGAATTATTTTTTAAATTATTCAACTATAAAATATCATATCTTTTTAGATCATTGTTTAGTTGGGGCGTAACATAAATGATGTTATACTTACACAGTAAATATCTGAGTCTACTTGCTTTAAATTCTCTTTAAGTATTTGAAAATGACCACATGTGTGGAGTAAAGCACTTGCAATTAAAGTGTCGGTTGCAAGAATCATCAAACCACAAATACTTGTTGCTATCATTTGAGATATATAAACCGTCTATATGTACATATAGCCAAATAGAATTTTGTAACAATACATTTACATTAAAAAGAAAAAGTGGCAAACAATACCTCATAGTATGGAAAGTTATAAAAACCCGAAGGATATGTTGCAACAAATGGAAAGTCTTTTAGAACAGTCGAGTTATTAGTAATTATATCAATGATAGGCACACTGAAGAAAAGTAGTAAAGCATTACATATTAAAAATAGGTAGCCCCTTGTAACGTTTTTAGCACGTCTGAAACAGTATATTAAAAATAATGTATTTAAATAATATACGACACTTTTCAACACTAAGAACCATTTACATTGCATATTCCTGTAAGTGTTTAAAAACACTAATTTCGCCTAATCTCCAATAATCTGTTAGCATGAAGTCAATAAGAAATTCCAATTTTTTTCTCTTAAAAAACCAGATTAAGGACTTTAATATACCAAGCAATATTGTCAGTAAAGTAGAACTGCAAAAAATTAATGATTACTGATTTCATTCAGACTAAGCATGAATTAATTTTTCATCAATTACGATCAAACCTTGTTTCCAAAAGATCGTTCAGATTGTCCCGATTTTTATTAACGTGCGCTATTAATGGTATAACTATGAGTATAACGCAACTAAAGCATATAACATATCTTATAACATTTATTGGATAAAGTCCAACAAATTTGAGAACAAACAGGTTTATGAATATGTAGTTTTCAACATTCATTATATTTTAATTTCTAAAAAATGGTTTGTCAAAGCAACATTCTTTGGAGACTTTAGACTTCATTTGCCACTACGAACATGCTTCAGCAAATAGCGTATAGCAGTTTGCCAAATGACTATTAATATTTAATTGTAGCAGTACTCCAAACCAATTTGAATTTCATCCATATTTTAGACTAATTTCAAAGTCTAGTACGAACTTCATCCACTTCATCATTAGTGCAAATTATACTGTGTGCTTTGATCTTGTGACAATGCCATCAATACAAAGCTCATTAACTATGTTTAAATTAAAGGTTTCTTTTGAAATTATACCTTCTAGTCATATATTATTCACATACAGTCTTTACTATGGCACACCACGAATAATGACAAGGAAGAAACACTTTGAAAGCAAAACTATACGTTGCTCTAGTGTTCTTTGAGAGTTCAGCTTTACTTCAACAAAAGATACTTGCGATAAAGGGATACTAAGCTGCATGCACATCGATGTTAAAGATTTGTATTTTCCACGGTAAGTTTTTATAAAAATTTTAATACAACTTTGCATACACCATTTCTTATAAAATTTTATTGCATTTATGTGGTGCATTGATAATAAATAAAACTTTCACTTTGACTGCATAATTTACAAGTCATTGTTCAATATCACTTATAAGTAAAATATACTTATCTTAGGTCAAGATCCAAGACGCATTACTTTCAAACGAATCTCGGAGAATGTGAAATTTGTCAATGTATATGTATCTTTTAATCTGTGTAAACGTGATCTTTCAAACTTATTTGTTAAGAAAAGAAACTTTTAAGGAAATGTTTGTACAAATATGAACGACGTTATAGAGACGAGAGTAAATGAAAATAACTTATTAATTTATGGACATTTTCGTTCTACTTGACTCTTTCCGCTCTCTTCATATTCTTGACTGGAGATCCACATTTGCTGGAAAGTTCCAATCGAAGCTAATATAGATCCACCGATCCAAGCTCCAAATCGTCGTTCAGCGCATCCGTTCACGCTAATTAATTTCAATCTCATACTAGATGGTATTCTCATGGACAGGTCTCTATTTAAACGCTCTGGGAAGCCCTGCGTAATGCAATAAATTTAAGTAAGCACGATTAATATATTTTTAAAGCATTATCCAATCATAGTAGTAGTTCATCGGACCTGAATAAATGAATTTCCGCCTGTAACAACGACACTTCCATATAGGGCTGGCCTTACATCAACATCACACATACCAACACTGGTTTGTACAATGTGACCTACTCCTAGCATAGTATTGCCAACCATACCTCCCCGCATTTGCACCATACTAGGGTCAAAGAGAGCTTCCGGTATACGAAATCTCTCACTCCCAAAATCCTTGAAATATTATTGTTTGTTAAACAGCAGTACTTACGAAAATAATTATGTTGTTAGTAACAAATATTTCTTTTATATACCTGATGGTATCCAGTTGGAAATTCATACTGTACTGCAGGAATTGTGGAAACTATTTTCTCATCATATGGAGTTTCTGAAACTTGTAATACAGTGGCTTGAAAATCTTGAATAAGTTTCTTTACCATATAATTATGCCAGGATTTAGTAACTTCTGGCAAGCCTTTCTTTTTAATCCACCGAGGTTTGTCATGATCTTTAACAACTTCTTTACTACCCACCATATAAGAAGGAGATAGATCTATATCATTATCCTGTTATTATTTAAAGAATATGATTATTCAATCTTCTTACATTATAAAATAGTATTTTCAAGTATGTTCATACCTGAAGAAATTGTCTACATTGCATGCTAATATAGTCTCCTCCAAGAGGGGATTTAACTATTGCTTGTGTTAATACAAAACCATCTTGAACAGGTACAGCAGAAGTATGTGTTGCTCCGCTGTCAACAACAATACCAGTTGCTCTACCATTTGCAAAAGCAGCAAGCACTGCATTTTTTACCAAAAAGTATGCTGGTACATTGTACTTTTCAAACATTAGTTCAGTTAATCGTTCTCTTTTACTACGAACATTCCATGGTGATTCGGAAAACAATACTGGATGATATTCTGCATCTGACTGAATCACTTTGGAGTAAGTATAATCTAAAACCTATTAATTATAGTTTTATTTTATTTATTATACAAAACTAAAAAGTTTGAGTTAAAAATATATTTTTGTTACCTTCTCAAAATGATCCCAGTCCTCGATCATACCATCTTTCATGTAACTTACAACTTCCATATTCTTTCGAGGAACATGCAATATAGTAGTATCAATATAATATTTGGTCCCAGATTGTGTGATATTATTATCCGGCTTCTTGTCATCGATGTCCATGGGTTCTGTTTTGGTAGCTGTACAATTGCCATCTTCTCCTATGCCTACTACGGCAGGAATTTCAGCCTTTGGAGTATCCTCTTGAGCATAACCAACTCTTAAAGAATGATGACCCAAGTCAAACACCAAAGCTCCAATTTCATCTCCTCCATAAAGCATGCCTCCTGACATTTTGTTGGTTTGAAAATGATCTATGGCAGTAATCAAATTATTGATATTACTTCTTCCTTGTAATAATTAGCACAACATTTTAATTTTCACTTGTATCGGCACCAAAAGCGATTTGGTAACAAACTTCTATCATAAAAACAATGTAAATACTAAATTTAGTATACATAAGCCGGATAGGTAATAACTCATATTAACTTGGAACGTTGCAGGTAAATTCCCACTTTGAATTTTCGACTCACCGTAACGTCTTTACAAAAATAACTCAATGAAATGGTAAAAATATATGCATTTGACGGCTACATGAACATTTATTTATGTATTTCTTTTAATGCAACAGAAACATAACCTCAACTCAGAAGGACGCTTGGTACCGCCACCACGAACAAAATTATTCGTAAGTTAGAAGATTGCTTGTTCAAATCGCCAAGTATCTACTTCCTTCATGGAGAATATATTTCATTTAGAACGAAGACCATTTCAGACTGAAAAAGTTTTATTTATTGCAAGTTGCTTCAATAATAAATTTTTGTAGTTATTTTTATAATTAGTTATTTGAATAAGGAATAAAGAGGTGTTTTATTTATATATTACAATTCACTCAAACGCGAGAAATCATTTTAAAATTACTTATTTGAATTTTATACAAAATAAAGCTAGAATATCAATTTTTTGCCTAAAATTAATCTTAAATGTAGGGAAAAGCATATAAATATGTATAAAAATTGCAAAATTCGAAGTCCATTGTCGGTATAAACGAAAGATCAAACCACCTGTTAGTTCGACGATTTCTCGTTCGAAGCGCCATGATCGCGAGGGCCCACAAAATGGCGCTCCGAGTCAGATTGTCGTACGACTCGAGACAATGCGGAGGTGTATAGCCGCCCGCCGTCCTTTAGCCATGTTCTATCGTCGGGTTCGCGACAGTGTGGTGCGGGAATGAGGTTCACGAATGCGAGATTCGAAGGATCGTTTGACGGGTGACGGTGAGCCAAAGGAATTGGCATGTGTTCGCAGGACAGGACATTGTATGCTGGTGCAGCGATCGCGTGAAGAAATTACGCTGGGTTTTTGTACGCGTCGGAGTCTGTGACACCCGCTGGCCCAATGGAGCCGCGTACTCTCGCTGTCCCGTTGGCTTTGTTGACATTCGTCGTATCGGGTATGTTCCCCATATACTATCATTCATCAAACTTCTCATTCAACGTCATTTTCATCATACGAAAATTTCCGCGTCTGCGATTCTGTCAAAAAGCTTGCGCTCTCGTGGAAATAAATTTAAATCGCAGGTGATTGTATATTGTGCAAACGAGACTGGTCTCTGCGCAGGACAGCATTGTCACTCGTGGATATATCGTAGAAACGGGCTCGCGATCCCGGAGAAGAATGTGATAAAGCTCACGTCGCGCTCCGTTCGGCGTTTTATCGATGAACGTGGAAAACTGGGAAATATGGTATCGCCTCACGATTACCACTGTTTGCGTTTCGCCCCATCGTTAGTAGTGAGCAAATATTTACGAGACCATTCTGCGATTTTCTGTTTGCTAATATCTTAACGCCGGAGATTACGCCATGGAAAGCGGTCTCTCGGACCTATGCTCGACAATCGCCGCGAGCCGCTTCATCGTGAGAATTACGATTAAATACCGTCGATGTGTCAAGATTCGTACGGGATTCCGGTAACGATTAACTGTTGCAGACGCGCGTATGGGATGCCGAGCGAATAATCTTGACTTTTCGAACGAGATATTTTATTATGCGAACTGTTGTTTCGCTAGATCGTCCGCCGCCGTACGGCTCTGAATTAAATAGCGAGCCGTTTACGATAGGCGCTCCGAGTGCCAAATGAAAACAACGTACATGGAATGATGAATGGAAGCGAATGTCGTGAAAGAAAGGATTTTGGCATGATGTTAAGTGTACGGAATAACATTCGCCAATATTCGTGGCGTAAATTTTGGAGATTTAAGCTTATAAAAATTAAGTTGAGAGACACTGTACTACTGGGTGGCTATTATTGATGCAGAGAAGGTTATCTCGTGTAAGGGGCTGATTCGGGGTGTACTTTCGATTGCAACGATCTGGACAGTATCCCTCGACAATACTGTCGCAATAACGAGGGCAGTATAGCTCCCTTGGTAAAAGTAACGATGAATTGGGAGAGGTAGAAGGCAGGGCTAGGGACCATTGTTCTAGTCCCTGGTCCAGTGTACACAAATATAATAATCTCTGTGTCCTCCGTAGCACAGACTCATTAAGGGGTTGTCTCATTAACAAAGGAATTCTTTTCCGCGGCAAAGTTTTATCCTCGATATACAATGAAATATCCAAAGGGGCGGCATAGTTGGAAATGATCAAGAAACTAAAAAAACTATGTACCTGGCGTCAGCCAAATACTAGAGAAATTTTTATATATATAATAAATATAAATAAATAAATATAAATTTAAATATAAATTATTATTATAATTAAATATAAATAATTATTATATATATAATAAATCAATTTTTGATTAAGTATAGTCGACTTTATAATCTGTTCTCGGTAACAAACAAAACGATCCACTTAATTTCATTGTTTTATTAACCGGGTCGGTTCTACTTAACAGGCTCTTTTAATTACGAAATGGGTACTTTCCATTAAATTTTTTCGTGTTGGAAATACTGCTAGAAGTGCTTGCCGGTTATTAATTCTGAAAAATTTATAAATCCAAACGACGGTTTTAGAAGGTGATCATTTCGTTCCTCGAAATGAGAGTACACCATTAAAGAAGTTGCACCGCTAGAAGCATTTACGTCAAACACTCGAGTAAAGTATTCCAACAACGCGGCAAGCCTCTCCTTGCGATTTTATCATGATAGAAAATGCATCTACTAAACGTCCGGCGTCATTACTTAAAGGGGCTTCGTAGATTTGAAAGAATAAATAATTTTATAAAAATATTTGAGATTTCTCTCTGATGAAATAATTATTCTATTTCTGAATAATAAAAACTTTTGAAAACTTGTTCGATCTACTCAAACACAATACGGTATTACAACTATGTATTTTGTTTATTTTACCATTTCGCTTACTTAGTGTTTTGTAAATATACCTGGTAGAACGATGTTTGTAGAAATTAAGGATGCTCGCAATGCTCTTCCCGTACAAGCATTGTTCTGTTCCCCTTATTATCCTTTTTATTTACTTTTCATTATTACATATACGCACGTCTAGTTAGATATAAAGATCCATTTCCTGCTCATCGTGGTGGTGAAGCGTTCAAACAATGAAAGGGGTCTTAAAAGGGTGCCTTCCTCAAATAAACCAGTTAGCTTTGTCTGGGATACGGCACTACCGACTCGCAGCTCGCCTGCAGAACAATTATGGGCCCAAACAAACAGAACATGATAAGTTCAACATCGACGTTAGCTTCTGATTTCAGTTCATTGATCTTTCCTCGTAGACCAATTTCGTACCAATTTTTCCTCCAGAAGAACTCGCGTCGGTTCACCTAGTGGAACTGATTGATCACCTACGGTCCGATAATTAAAAAAAAAAGAAGCCAACAGGAATACATTGGCCCTTCCACAGAGTCGTTCTGAACTGGCAATACTCGATATCTCGAAAACTCTTTGCGATGGAGAATTCTGAAAATGAAAATATACATTTGTATAGAATACCGAATCCATGAAAGTAAAGTAACACCTAATGCCCTCTTGAACAAATTTTTCGCCACTTTCAGAACTGTTTTCATTATCGTCGCTGGAACCGTGTTCGTATAAGGGCTTGCTTGTAGCGTGAATTCGACACATGAAGATCTACTCTGGCACTGGTAGCCCAAATACGGAACACGATCGGGGCAACACAACCGCGTTTGAATGTGTTCCCTGTAAAGTGGTATTTACAAACGCGTGTACTGTGCGACCGATGTCGTAACAACACCTTAATGGTCGGCGCCCACGCGGCGTACGCGCGTGCATATTGATGTATAGGGTGATTTACCTAAGACACTCCCCGCATCCCAACGAATGGGCCCCGATTAATTTGATTTCGACATGCAAACCCCACCTCGGCCCCTCGGTGAGTCGAAATTGATCAGCAATCGTAAGAGTTTCTCTGCAAGATAACACAGAATTGAAAACATACGATCGTTTTAAAAACAAAAAAGTTCTTTAAGTGATTAAAAATTAGCACTAAAGAAAAATAAGGACTAAAGATTCAGCATATAAAGACCAGAAATTGGACTAAAGATAGGGATGAAAGATTGCGTTGGAAGCTAACGATTTCACAAATCCACGGGTAAAGCGATTTAGGGTTGTAAGTTCCAGCCGGTAGTGCGAGGCTGTTTTGTAAACCCGGTCGCATTGCTTTTTCTTCTCCTTACAAAGGTATCACGTTCACTGGCGGTTGCATCACGTTGGCAATTCCATTACTGCTATACCCTGTCGTATGCTTTCGTTATCCTTTCAGGGTGTCGTTCCTCCAATTCTCGTCTTCTCGCGGTCGTTTCGCGGAACAGCGTGTGCCTGGAACGGAAGTAGCAACAGTCACGGTACGAAGAAGATAAGAGAAAGACGGATGAGACACCAGGCTCGTGGAATTCATTTATCGATCGCCAAAGTCATGCCTAGATTTCCGTCTATTCGGACCGACGCCGGGTCCGTGTGCTTCCTGCTACCCCAACTGTCGCGAACGATTAATTGATTCCCTTGTAGGAGGGATCGTAATATCCTTCATCCCCCTTGGAGACACCGATTTTATCAGTATTTATCTGACACCCCGTATATCGGTCGTGCCACGGTGTATACGTATACCTTGCCTTCCTTCACGGTCTGTTCGTCACATGTCGAGTACTTTTACCACGTTTTTCAACATTCTCCCTCCTTCCCTTGCCGACTTCCATCATGGGCATGCAAACTCGCCCCACGAATTAATTCGTGCTGTGCAAAAAATCTCGAGGATTTATTAATGCTAGAAGATACATATTGCACATAGAACAGGCACGGTGATCGGTACTCAGATGCAACAAGGAAGGTTAAATTCCGATAACACAATCGTTACCAGCAGTTGTTCTAGCAACATTTCTTATAAGGGGCGATAGTTTCGTTAGAAAAAAGAAAGAGATGTATCTTTAAGGTTGTTTAAGTAGGACTAGTAGATATTTCAATCAACTCAATATTTACTTGACTCATTTCCTCAATAGGAAACACCTGCAAATGAGAATAGGCATACCATTGTTGATACTAGAGTTAAAGTTTGAAGGTAGGTCTAATCAAATATTTTTTGAGTCAGGAATAATGTTAATGCTCGCAGTATCCTAACAGAAGTGACGGTTTGCTGAGTATGTGTTGTTTACCCAGATGGTTGTAAATCGTGATAGGTACCGATGATGGCATGATAATTTCCTGGAATAATAGTATTTGTTTAAGTGGGACGTGTATGTTCCAATTGTGCGTCTCCCAAGTATGAAACAAAGGAAATAATTGAACATTGACTACTTAATTGCAGTTGCACGGTTCAGTTGATTTTTTTGTAAAGGATAATTCATGAAAAAGGTGTGTTTACCGGTAGAAGGAGAAAGTCCACTACTTTCTAAGCATTTTTGTCGAAGTGTAATCGTTCGACGAGCCCCGAGAAAACACTTTGCATCGTGAAACGATTCCTGCATCGATCGTGTGAACCTTATCTGCAGGAAATTATTCGATACATTTAGCTCGTCCGAGATAGCGACTTCAAGACTCGTTGTAAGTTTGTACGCGGTACTTACGTCCTCCCTCCACTGTCTCTCTCTTCCGCTCCCGTTATGCTACTAAACAAGACGTATAAACCGATGTCTGACAAACACCCTGCCTACAGGGTGTCGAATAATTTGAGCCGAAATAAAAAAAAATTCGTTGAAAATATAAAAATTTAAAGTAAAATCATTTTTCTGCATCTTTTAAAGTAATTATGGTCCTAAGGTGAAGCGATACAAATCATACGTTCGTTGCCGTTATCGTTTGTTATCGTTATCAGTCTAAGCATATTGAAATGCATGTTACACCTGAACTTATATAATTTCTCCAATTGCTTCGACTACTGCAAACGTTAAACTGAAATGTTAAACAGGTTAATAGAAATGTGAAATTACTTTCCAGTTGAACTAAATTTTCGAGACTTATATACCTTTACCTGCAAACATTCTCGAATGTATTTTTTCTCGATTATATACAATAAATATTGTCTTTCATTCCACAACGACAGCATAATCTGAAATTAAAAATTTACCTTTTTGAATATGCCGCCATTTTGGTTATACTGGCACGCCCTCATTGAACTTTCAAAATGCGTGGCAGTTTCGAAGTTCCAATAAGAGAATACAACTACATACATACTTGCTCCTAACTAACATTTCGATGAAAAAAGATATCGTTGCGGTTGTATGGGGAGATTTATAGAGCGACCTGTACGAAATAAGGTGCAGTGGTTGTTCCCGCGTCAGATTTACCTCGGCTGTACACACCGCAATGGTTCTCCTCTTGATCTATTTCGGTATGCCGTGCGGTAGGTTGTCGCCCGCACTCATAAATCAAATAGTCAGACGGCGAACGGTTTATTTTCCTTGAGAATGCAGCGTCGTGGCGCTATCGGGCGCCAAATTTCGCACGTTCCCTTTTCTCTTTTTCATTTGTCGGCTTGTTCAAGCTCGGTGCCTGTTGAACGGACCTGTCAAGCGAAGCGGAACTAATCCGTAACGATTTTTCAAAGAGAAAGATGGCGGGGAGATTCGAGAATTGAAAGAACGAAACAAATCGATACTACCTTTTCTCTCGATTTTCGAGTTCGTTCGATCGAGTGAAACTGACTACGATTCGGTGGTGGTAAAAATTCGAAACGTCACGTACCTATGTCCGTGGTATAAGAAATTCGCGGGCCGAAATATCGACGGCGAGAATTAATTTTCTATGTCGATCATCGAAGACGTATTCGAGCTTGTTCGCGAAGGTTGCACGGAAAGGTGACAGACCACCGTGAGCGTGAAACTGTAACCCAATAACCGTAAACAGTGTCTCTCAATTTTCTGGAAGCGTCGATCGAATTAGCCGGCTCCGTCGTTGATAGACGTCAATTATCGATTGCTCGTCCCTTTCACTCGCCAAGCGGAAAAAAAGTATCCAGTTTTATATCGGATCGATATCCTTGGGTATCCGTAGACGCGTCAAGCTATAAGGGGTCTCAATACTTCGCTAGATAGGCATTCTTCGTATTTCTTTTTTTCTAGGTTAAGTTTCAGCGCGGTTCTTTTGAATTTTCCGTTCATCGAGGAGGAGAGAGAGACTCTCTCGGTTCGCCTGTAACGGATTCTACAGAAAGTAGGGTTCCAGAGGCGAGGTCTCGACACCGGAAGATTGTTAGCCCGCGAAAATATTCATAATTGTCCTGCGTATAATGCGTATCTCTTTCATAAAGAGCCTTAAGAATCCCGCGAGAAAGAATTTAACGAGCCGCATGGAATTTCTTCGGCTCGGTCGATATCGGTGTTGGGCGAATGCGAAATGTATTATCATGGAAATAACGCAGCCGGCTTCGACGTGAATAATTCGAGAGAAATTTATGGAGGGCCATTGTCGAACAACAAAAATATCATCGCCGATGAATTAACCCTCTGTAACCCCGTGCGAAGTCACATGCTAAATCCCCGGGATCCGCGGCCACGTTCACGCGATTACTCGAAATTTGAAATTCTTTGTTCCCGCCGCTGCACAGTGGTCCAGAAAGCGGTAATTTTTTTTATCAGAATTAGAAATATTCTTAAGTTCACCTTTTCCTGGCATACGTTTTCCAGCAGTATAAATGTTATAATTGAATTCTGTAATAAAACAATTTATGGGCACAAAATTAATATCGATTTTTAAACTAGTATTTCATTTATTATTTTACTAAAAATAGTAAAGTTACATATTAAAAAAGTTCGATATAAAAATATTTCTATTTTCGGCTACAAATTACCACACTTTCTAGACCGCTACGAACTGTTCACTTTGCGTAGGAAATACCTTGCGGCGCATATCGATTGCGTGGAATTTAAAAGGTAAGAGAGCTTACGTTCGCTAGAAATCATTCGGATCGAGTCCCATAAAATTGTTCCGTCGAGATTCTCTTATTCCTTTGTTCTCGCGAAGGGCTATTCAGAAAACGACGTTGAATCGTTCTGCATCGTGCGGTTGCGTATACGTCGTATCGGACGATCGCAAAGCCTCCAACGAAAGAAAAGAAAGGAAGAAAAGAAAAGAAAGAAAGGAAGGAAAAGAGAATTTAGGCACTCGGCTCGGGTGTCTCGCCAAAGGGCCAAAGGGTGCCTATGTAGGGTTGCCGACCCTTTATCCCCTCTTCTCATTTATACAACACCACGGACATCCCACATCTTCGTTAGAGAAACCCTCACAAGTTTTCAACATCCACCATCACGATACTTACGCGTACGCCTACGCACGTGTTTAGTAACTTACGGGAGATGCAATCGAAATTTGATAGTCCTGCTGCCCCTATCGAATTTACCCCGATGATGGCTGGCAAGATAGATGTCTGTTAGAATACCCGTTTTTTACACGCTTCTTTTCATACTAAAAAAAATAGAGGACGGTGTTCTTTATCATGCTAAGCCACACCTGGACCACAGTGTCTCTCAATGAATCTGATACGCACCTGTACAATCTGATAGAAAACGTAATTTTGAATACAAAAAGATCCATCATTTTTAATAATTGGCTCACAAGGGTAGATCCTCTACTGAAAATGTCAGAGAGTTAACTTCTTTTCTGTTACTTGTAAGAGGTAGAGATAATAGAGTTTCAGATGTTCCTGAAATTTTTGGTGGAGGATCTCTCTTTGTTAGTAAGAAGAATAATCACGGTAGCCATTGTATGCTAATATTTTGCCATTATGAAAAAGTACAAGCTGATCTTGTTCTTAATAGCTAGTGCAGGTGGTTTGTACTTTACCACTGAGCCACAAGATGCAGTGGTGGAGCAGGGAGGTGCAGCAAGATTGGATTGTGAAGCCAAGTTCAGTGGTTTGGGGGAACCGACTATACAGTGGCGAATAGATGATGGTCAACCAATTACTTTTATTGGGGACGATTTTCGGTAAAAATATTCAAAATATCAATATTACATTCTATTTAGTGTATTATAATTTAAACATCTTTCTTTCATGCTCATTCTTTTCTTTCATTGTAGATCTCAGCTAGCAAATGGGTCCTTGTACATAAATAGTGTTTCCATGAGTAACCCAGAACTAACTGGAAGCTATCAGTGTTTAGCTTTCGTAGATGATGTTGGAGCTATTGTGTCTCGAACAGCCACAATTAAACTTGCAAGTTAGTATCTAATACTACTACTTGTTCACACTAATATGTAAGAACTGAAAGTATATCAAGAATTTGGTTTTAAAGGTCTGCCAGGATTTGAAAAGGAACCTCAAGACACAATGGTCTATCCAGGGCAAATTGCATATTTGAGTTGCACACTTCCTTCATCTTCCAGTTCTCTAAGTATACAGTGGCTGAAAGATGAACACCCACTTGTACTTGATGATAGTCGAATGACAGTGTTACCATCAGGTAAATTTCTATGCTAACAGCAAGCAGAATACAGTTGTTTTGAATCTGAATGTTCACTTATTTTCCTTCTTTGCCTAATAGGTGCATTAGAGATCGATGATGTTAACATGCAAGACATTGGTTCATACAGATGTAATGCAAGTAGTTATGGACAATATAGACTGAGTAATAAAGCACAATTAGGTTTACTGACAAGTGATATTGGTTAGTATACATCGGTAGAAAGCACTACTATATGAACCACATCATTTTTAAGAAATTGATACTATTAATCTCTTACTTGTTTGTATCATAGATCAAGAAAGTACACCACCAGTCTTCATAGCTAAACCATTTAGGCAAGTGGTTGTTGAAGGATCAACAGTCACTCTAGAGTGTGCTGCCAATGGCTATCCAAAGCCCAGTATATTGTGGCTAAAAGATGGTACAGCCATTGACTTAGCATCTCTTGATTCTAGGTGTGTACAATGGATGAAATCAAAATATATCGTACAGAACTAAAAGAGAATATTTTTAATAAAAGCATACATTTTATTGTTTAGATACCGGAAAGTAGCTGCTTCAAGTCTTGTAATTAATAATGCCCAAGAAATAGATGACGGTTCATACCAATGTCGTGCGGAAAATGAAGTAGATACATTGGATGCAGTTGCCGATTTAATTGTACAAGGTATTCATAATATATCATTTTCCATTTGTTTTCTCTTAATTTCAATATTGCTAATATACTTATTTCTTTATCTTCAGTGCCACCCAGGTTTCTAAAAAAGCCAGAGGATAAGGTAGCTAGCGAGAATCAAGACTTGGAATTTGAATGTGAAATCTATGGGAAACCGGAGCCGAAAATTTCGTGGCTCAAGAATGGAGAACGTATCACATTCAATGCATATTGGCAGATCATTAATGGGTAAGTCAATGGTGTTTATAAAAAAGAACAACATAAATTTATTTTACGAGACAAGTATCTTCAATGTGATTACTTTCAGCAGTAATCTTAGAATTAACGGTTTACTGAAGATAGATGCTGGAATTTTTCAATGCATCGGAACGAATTCTGCCGGAAGTGTGCAAGCTGCAGCACGTCTAACAATTAGTCAACCTAGTGAGTACTCGTCTCACTGTATGTGAAACTTGGCTCACAAATGATTCTGAAAATTATTTTGTACATCTTGTTTTCTCTATTATTTCATTCAATTCTTTGAAGTATGCAGAACAAGTTATGTGATATTCTGTATCTGAATATCGCCGGTAGATTTGATAAAACAGTATTGAAAGCGAATATATAAAAAAATATTCGTAATATTTATTTTCTGGAGAAAATCGTCCAGAGGTATTCAGATATTCCATTTTTTGTGACTCGCTCTGCACGATTCTCTATTTCCGTTTCCGTTTTAAATTTTAATTTCATTTTTATTTATTTTTCCATTTGCGTGTCCTCCTTGTTAACTGTGTGCATGCTAACCACCGTATCCAGAAAAAGTAAATTTCCACAAGACAACCACGCCGAAATCGATCCCTAAGAAAAAGCTACCGCAACACCGTCAATTGTACAATAAAACATGGCAACATCCGAGCACCCTTTTGGGGCACACGATGTCAGCCTTTACGCAGAATCCGCCACTCTCCATTAGCCCCTCCGATGATCCAGCAGACCTTCCTGGATCTGTTAGAGTTCCCAACTCTCCTTACGATCCGAAATCCCCTTTTGTAGACGACACAGACAGCCTGGAATCGATAGAAGGAAGCGTTCCCTCAGCCCCGAGAAATCTGAGTCTCGTCATTGTCACCGCACGATTCGTCACTTTAAGGTGGCAAGAGCCGGAAAACACAAACGGGGAAATTGTACATTACAAGATTTATTACAAACAAGAAGGTGCTCAAAGGTGATCACACATCCCTTTTAACACGTTCAAATGAAGAAATAGTATTGTTCGTTAGTACCTCATGTGTTATGATAAAATTTTGCAGAGAAAGAGTTGTAAACACTCAAAAGTTAGAAGCCATGATACCAGCGTTGCAACCGAGTTTGACGTATCAATTTCGAGTGGTAGCCTTAAACGTGAGAGGTCCTGGAACATCCAGTGAAATATTGCAAGTCACTACGCTTACTGAGGTCTGTTTAGAATTTCGCAAAAAAAAAAAAGAAACAGTAGACGTCTGTTTTGTTTATTATGTTTATTATAATAAATCTTTTATAACAGGCCAATGTTCCTGGACCTCCATTGAACTTAGAAGGTCAAACCACGAGCAGCGTGAGCATCACATTGTCTTGGGAGAAACCACAAGTTGTTAACGGCAGAATTTCTAAATACTTAATCACATTCGTTGAGGTATAGAAAAGCTTTGACGTGAAAGTGTCGGTAATTATATTAATGCAATAGAAATGAGTGATTATTGTTTCATTTTGAAGGGTGACAATGAGGAAATCATTCGCGAGACCACTAGTACCATGCACGAATTGGTAGACCTCGTGCCTTATACAGAATACAGTATTAGAGTCCAAGCCGTGAACGAGAACGGCCCTGGCGCGTTTAGTAGAGATATCATAGTGAGGACTTATAGTGCAGAGCCTACTCAACCACCGCACAATGTTACAGTAGAACCAGCTAGTCCTACAGTGCGTATTGTGCCTAGGATTCTTAATAGTATGTGAAGCGAAATTGTTTGATCTCATATGTTTCTTTTCTGTATGTAGAGCATTATAATAAGATGGGAACCTCCATTGGAGGGACAGAATGGAATTATCACTGGCTACAAAATTCGTTATCGTCGACATGATCGTGGCTCACAGCCAGTTACCATAACTACAGAAGGAAACCAACGCTCAAGAGTGCTCACAGGACTTGAGAAACATGTCGTCTATCAAGTTCGCATATGTGCCTTAAACGTGAATGGTACTGGACCTTGGACGGAATGGATACAGATAAAAACGTACGAAACCGAGTCGGATGAAAAAAGAGTGCCAAACACACCGAGCAATTTAAGAAGTTAGTTGATTTCTTCTTGCCTTAAACAATAATGTTCGAAAGATCTCTGTTTATCCATGCATTTGTTATTATCTTTTTGTGCATTGTAGCGAAAGTAAAGTCGGACAGTATACAAGTGTTCTGGAACTCACCAAAGGATCAGAGTATCAAGGTAAAGGGCTACAAGCTAGGATGGGGTAAGGGATTTCCAGACGTTGAAGTACAGCTTCTCGATGGGAAAGAACGTTCTTTCACTATAGAGCAATTGGGTAAGTATTCAGAGCTCGCTGAACACGTATAACGAACAGTAAGAAATAACATTCTATACTATTGTAGAACCAATGACAGAGTACGTTATAAGCTTGCGAGCAACAAACGACGCCGGTGACGGTCAGCCGGCTTATGCGAATGTCAGAACAAGTGAGCGTTCTGTATCTGAATCTTCCGCGCCTTGGATACCGCCAGTTGGCCTTAAAGCTGCTGTTTTATCAGACACTACTGTAGTATTGTATTGGACCGATACAACCTTACCAAAAACTCAGGTGTGTTCGTGGAACATCTCTTTATTTTAGCAGTTCAGTATCGTTTACTAAAAAAATTAATTAATGTTACAGTTCGTAACGGACAATCGTTACTACGTGGTACGTTACACGAATCATCATAGCAGTACCCCTCGTTATAAGTATCATAACGCCACTGATCTCAATTGCATGATACATGATTTGAAACCGAATACCGTGTACGAATTCACAGTCAAGCTGGTTAAGGTACATATTTCTTATTACTTTAAAAGTGATTAAGTATTATGTGTGACTGTTATTTCCCTTTAGGGGAAGCGAGAATCACCGTGGAGTATGGTTGTTATGAATCAAACGCAAGAAGCTGCGCCAAGTTCTGCGCCAAGGGATTTGTTGATACAAACTATTGAAGACCGTCCGACTTCTGTCTTGCTACGATGGCAGCCCCCTAAGCAGCCCAATGGACCAATCACGGGTATTAATTAATTCTTGTTTGGATACAAGTATTTTGAACAAGCCTGAAATTAAATACACTCTTTCTCAGGATATATTATATTTTATTCTACCGACAACACGAAGTGGGATCGCGACTGGTTAATTGAAGCAGTTATCGGTGACAAGACTGAGTTTATTGTGAAAAGCCTTAAACCAAATACAACGTATTACTTCAAGATTCAGGCGCGAAACTCAAAGGGATACGGTCCGTTTTCCACCACCGTTCCGTTTAAAACACCGCAAAGTAAGTATTCTCCCGTATTAAAGAATCTTTATGCACGCACTCGACAATTTGTTGGTATCGAACGAGTTTGTTAAGCATTATGTACAATGTTATCACCTACAGCAATTCCCATTTACGTTCATCTCTTTATACCGTCTGTACAGTATCGGTGTGTTAATTATTCTTTTCATTTTTTTATTTCTATGCTAGGCAATGGCATGGATGTCTATGATGAATTGCATGATCGAGGTAAGACATATTATTCTCTTTCGAATCATCGTCCATTATGATAGATATCGCATGCAGTTGGGAGTAATGTCTAAGTATTGCATATAGTAAAATTGTAAACGATATTTCATATTGTATATGTACTCATTATTCTGTATTGAAAATTCACTTCCTAAAGGTGTAGTCGATACTTAGAAATTAATTTATTTTACAGACGGACGAGGACTCTCAAATATACTGATCTATATCATTGTTGGCTGTTCTATTGTTCTTATTCCTGGTGTAGCGGTTGTAGTGGTCGTGGTGTGCTGTAAACGTAATCCGGATACACCTGATCGGAAAAAGGGGTATGTATTACAATACATAAGTGTATTGTTGCTTATGTATATATCTCTATAAATATACTCTATTCAAATTTTTTAGATACATGAAAGACACGAATCAAAAGACAAATATCAAACCACCAGATCTGTGGATCCATCATGATCAGATGGAGTTGAAAGCTCTTGAGAAATCATCAATAAATGGTGAAGCATCTACTAGTGGTGTAGCCAGTAACACGTTACCTAGGCCTAGTAATCCGGAATACAATCAGGAGAATGTACACGGGAATTCCAGTTCATTGGACAAGCGTACTTACGTACCAAGTTACATGGGTGAGTTCCGTGGAGGAAAATTATAGTACGTAGTAGTTTCTATCAAACACATCTGCACAGAACTTGATTTGCCTACTATTGTATTCTTTTATCATCATACAAGAGAAACGAATACAACTTGCTTCTAACATCGCCCAGTACACAGATTATACTCATTTCTGTACAATTTTTTGGCGTTTTTAGTTAACGTCGATCACCATAGAACAGATAATTATATTTCGTTCGCTGTTTTCCTGATTTCTCTTCGGTTTTTGTTCATTCACTCGATATTAGGTAACACTGACGAGAAGTGCTCGACCCTGAGTAGACAGCATAGTCGAGGAAGCCACAAACCTAAACTCATTACACTGCCTGTTGACAGTGCGTCTTTACATCAACGTAAGTCAATGTTGAATATCATGACACGAATTTACAGTGAATGTTTAGACCTATGCTTTGTCTATAATGATGAGCCAGCTATTGATTATCATGATACGTAGTAGAAGTAATCCGATCAATGTTGTTATCTGTTCGATCAAAGATTTCGACTTGTTGCAGCTATAGCGACTGCTACACCAATCGTGAACACGAGTATGTCGCAGCCAACGATTCACACTTCCTGCAGCGACACGCCATCCGTGAGGCAAAACTATCCTCGAACAGTGGCACAGTATAGTCTAAGTCGTGCACACATTACTTTGGAACCGACTCCAGAATCGAGTCCAGATTCTTGCAACATTTCAAGCTCGTATGAGCCGTTACAGAGCCAGGTAAGACTCATACAAGATTATTAATATCCTAGGTTCCCATTCAAAAATTTTAACATGTCCTTCACACCATGTTCCAAGATCATTTTGCAAAATTAAATAATAGCATGATATATTCCTTTCGACGTTGTTCGAGATATTTCTTTGTTTTGTAGCCGCTGTCGTATGGAGCAAGTGGCGGACAGTCGTACACCGGAAGTACTCAGTATGCTTCAGGTCATTATGGTAACAGCAATCAGCCATCAAGTAGCAGCGGAGGAACCGATGGCAGCGGTAGTAGTAAAAGGATGCAAGGACATCCTTTGAAGAGCTTTAGTGTTCCGGCACCTCCGCCGCAATCTGCGCCTTCTACGCCAGCGCAACAGAAACATGGTGGTTTGTCTTAATATTTTCACAACTATCTGTATTCTATGATTCATTGTTATATGCTTTATCTTCTGTACAGTTTCTCAAGTAACCGTAAGACCCACGATGTCCGGTAGTCCTTATAAGAAGCCACAAAGCACTTCGCAATTGGCAAAGAACCGGTTAGCCTCCGTTTCGAACCCAGTGCACACTTCAGAGGAAGTTGAACGGTTGAAGGTAACAAATCTTTCAATTAAAATATACGCTTCAAGATGTAACACGGTGAGAATAGCTTTTTAGTCCCGTATTACAAAGAAGCACCGGTTTAACGGCCTTGAATGTTTGATTAGACATTGGCTTTAGATAGGAATTTCTAAACTAACTTCATCACTTTTTCTAGCCTTCGTATAGTACAGAAGAACTGAATCAGGAAATGGCGAACTTGGAGGGTCTGATGAAAGACCTGAATGCCATAACAGCGTCAGAGTTTGAGTGCTAGAAGAGGTTCCTAAACCTTGTGCCATCTCAATTCAATAGACTGCAATCATACATTCTCAATGTTAGTACCTGAGAGATATAGGTGTGTGACGATCATGTTACACGATAACAAAAGAAAAAGAGAGAAACTCGTCTGCGGATTTGATGTTTCGGCACACGGAAATACAACGCAATTGGCAACCGGCATGTTAACCGACGGGGCCGATGAACGGCGTCAGTATCAGAACGGTTTCCAAAAACTGTTCGCCTGAAAAATTATCGTCAACCCGGTGTGATTGGTCTGGAACGCGAGTGTTTCCTAGTCAATTTGCTTTTTCCTCCGGTACTAACGTTGTTTTCTTACGGCGAAAGCGCGAAAGCATACTTGCCAATGTAACTCGACACTGCCACATTCTTGCAATGGACTTGTAATTCACAAGACTGTGAGTGGTACGGTTTTACAGTGAAATCGACGCGAGAATAGGACGTTTTATTGCGAGCGTTTGATGGTGTTTCTGTTTTTTTCTGCTTTCTGAGCGTATATATAGTGTGTACATACCACTCGAGACGAAAGGAAACCGATAAGTTCGACGTTATCGGGGATTACTATCAACAACTGGGATAGATCTAGGAAGTCAGTATACTTTTATGTTAAGCGAATGTTCAGTGACAAGTATCCGAACTCAATTTGTCGAGAGAAACAGGAACAGTATATTTCAGGTATTCAAAGTTATACACCAGAATTATAAACGTTCTATTGATTAATTTCAATGGTTGGGTTGCCACTGATTTTAATGATACCGGACGCGATAAGTTCATCTAAAAGGTCCATCCTATGCACTGGTCTTTTCGTGTGACTAGAGTCACATGTTGATGACACAACGGATTCATAACGTTGAGAAACTGTTTTAACATTTTTTGATTCTTGTATATATAGAAGTGATTGGTGATCGGATCGATTATCTTTTATATGCTTCGCTGAAACGGACGATTTCGCCTAAAAAGAAAAGAGATGGAGAAAACGAGAGAAATTCGTACTATATCGAAAAGCTCACGTGCTCTTTGCCATTGTTTGTAATTTATACTCATAAGAGTACATTTTCTATATCGATACAGTCGACTGCCATACTTACGCTTAGGATGGCGAGATCGCGTGAGTCTCTTAAGAGTGAACAATTTACGGTTCAGTGTGTGAGTCGAGGAACTAGAAATATCGTTTTTATTTTTTATTTTTTCATCTGTCAGAATTCTTTAATGACCGTTCCGATGATAAGTTTTCCTATGGTACAGTACTTTCAAACTAGTTAATTTAGTATTAATTAAAGAGAAATTCATTGTTAACACGTTGACTGACTTACGTCACCAGTGCTTCATTGTTAGACTGTGTATCTATTATGCACAAATCCCGCAGTTTATTCATGACATGCATTTTTATTACGGTCTGTAAATGGGGACGAATTGTATCAAGCATTTGAATTTTTGTTTTGCTGGTGACCCATTCAGAATTTTGTTCAACATTAATCTGAACGGTTGGCGTGTTATCAGGCTTCATAACGACAAGCTAAGTCTGTAAATTACACTGAAACAGTTGCCTGTGATTCTCGGAGTTTGATTTAATAGGCTGAGAGAGACTTTTCCACGCTGAACCTTTTGTAACGGCCTTAAACAAAACGTTCGCGTTCGGTTGTCCTGTATTTTATGGCTGCGGCAGCTCGCTAAGGAATTTCATACGCACGATAGAATGGTACGCGTGTATTATTCTAACCGAGACATTGTAGTATTACGATCTCATCGAGAAATCTTATTTTAGAATAAAAAGAGAAAAAACACAAACAAAGCGTACATCGAGTATGGGTATTACGGTAGGCTTTACTGCGTCACGTGACATAGGTCATCGTAAAGATAAAAAGATTTCTCACGTCGATGGATTTTTGCCGCTTTGGTAGTTGATTTACCTTAAAGTAACGATTACGTTCTAAACGTCCAGTTAAGGGTCCGGTCTAATTAAATAGTATATAAATTAAATTCGGTAGTCGAGTTTGCGAGCTATTTTTTAAACAGATATTTACAAATTGTTGTTTGTAAGGTGTGCATACGTTGTTTCCGTTTTCGAAGACTCGATAGCGACCGTGGTCGCTTTGAAATTTCTAACTGTCACACGATCATTAGATGTCCGATATGGCATATTTACAATGAAGAATATTTAGCGACCGTTTTTTACCATATCCGTCGAGATATTATACATATAATAGAATAATACTTCCTTCCATTGCTAGGGATTTGCTACGTATAACTTTTGTACACGTTTTACTGCGATCATCATGCGGTCTCTTTAGTATTAACGAGATTGAGATACCCGAGATATAAGCAGGATCACGTGACAATTAATGCGCGAATTGTGACGCGATCGAGGGCGAACGTCGCTTGTAGTATTCCGTACTATACCATCTTTTTTAAGCACTTTCGTATTTTCCTAAACGTTGAGTATACAGGGTAACACGGCCCTGTATTGTACAAAAGAAGTCCTGTACGCGATGGGTTTAAGCACCAACGAGGGGTTTCCGTTTTGCGGCAGAAGTCTAATATGGATATAGTACAAAGCAATATGTGATACTCCCGCTTTAGGAATCGTCGGGCCAATGCCCAGAGTATTGCATATTACTCGAATATTCGATGCCGCACGTGAAACACCAAGATTTCGAGCGAACACGTTCTTTTGTCGTCGGTTTAGCTCGATTAGGATAACGCGAGTAGTATTAAGAGACACCCGTAGTCGTGCACGCGTGAATTTCATTGATTCCCTAAATTTGTCATTTTTTTAAACGAACGAATTTACATATACGATTGTACAGGAGTGGTTCCATCGAGAATACCGTATGAACATCTGTCATCATGTCTAGCTCAAGTTTCCTTCTACATTCTATCGAGACTATAATGTCAATTGATCCATTAAAGGAGTTACAAAATTATTTTTAGAGCGGCATGTCGCATGGGTTTAATATATTGAGGTATATTAAATTTATATGGAAAGTTTGTATGGAATCTGTGACTGATGTTGATAGGGTTTCTCCGCGAGCATTTTGTAATATTTTTTTATTCTTTTTGAAATCTGAAATATTTTGTATAATGTTACTATTAGCAGTGACGAAAATGCGTAGGCGCGTTTGAGCTATACCGATAGAAAAGAACAGCTTGTACATTAAGTATATACATATATGTAATATATACATGAGAATTTGTAATTATCGCGCTGTTCAAGGAGCGATTGGCTCTTTGTAAGTAAAGTAAAACAGGCCTACGAAACGGCCTGCGAAAATATTTTACCACAAAAGTATAGTAGGATAGTTTTATCCTTCTCTATATAATTATTATTTATTGATTTCTATGTATGCTGGGAATATCGAGGATAAATGAATGTTGCGAGATGCTAGAGGCTGGTTGCTTTTAATCATTTCCATTGACATCGTATATTATAGTCATTAATCTCTGTCATTGTCACCATTCTCATGTTCATTCAATTTTTCTCATTGCCATTCATTCGCATTCGTCTATTTGATCAACGATTAACGGATTCGTTATGGTTGATAACAATATCCGACGATAATCAAGACTAAAATAAAAAGGATACAAGCCACTGCCGTATGTAAATAAAATACCGCCACTTTATAAGATAATTAAGTATTTATATACATTATATACATATATATATATATATATATACACACAGCCATTATAAAATATAATTATTATATTTGTACGATACGTATAAGGCAGCCATCTCCAATGAACATTCATAACAAGTGTGTGATAATATTTGTAAACCTTGATATCCAATAAACAACCTTATGTTCTTTACAAATTATAGGTTGAACTTAAGATTCAATGTTGAAGAAAAACATTCTACGAGGTATCGCAGAAAACACGTTTTAGAAACAACACATTTCAATTTCACGTTCTTGCATTTCGAAATTAATTTTTCGCTTAATATAGTTCTGGCGTTCGCCACTAGATGGAATCATCGATCACTTTTCCGCATCTACTTTATTATTTTATTCATTTCATTTTACGATTTGTGGCGTGTTTTTTTTGTTCGAGGATGGTTGCAGAATGTATTTTTTAATTGAAAACTAACAATGCTGTTAATATTTTGTGTTGCAATTGTTGAAATCTTTGCTTTTTCTTCGTTCTTTGGTAATGCTTGCAATTGGTAATTTAAAAAATCCATAACGCCACAATTTAACCTATTTGTATCCCAAGGAAAAATGAAACATAATGAACTTATTATCAATTGTTTCATTGTTTAGTATTATTTCAAGTGGTCCGTGCATAAATCTACTTTGCAGTCATCACAATGATAAATTGTTTCTTATTTCTTTTGTAATAAACAAATGACCCGGTGTATTTCTCGATGAAGTTGTTTCAATCTAGAAAACTTAAACGTATATAGGGTGAGTCAGCTAAAATATCTTCGTTGGTCTTACTGATATGTGAAAATTAGTGGACAAATGTTTGAAACAAGAAGAACAAATGTTTGACCTAGAGGAAAGATTATTGTGACAGAAGAGATTTTTTTCTAAATAACGAAGATAATTTAGGTGAAAATTTCCATCGTCTATACATATATATATATATTCTGGTTACGGATGCAAATGGGTTAAATTACAAGTGTAAATAATAGTATTCAATAACAACTGACAAATGATCTACAAATGTTTCAGATTGGCGCCAAAAGCGGAATTCAAAAATCTCCATGCATCGCAGAGCCATCTAGGATGAAACGGTGCCGCCCTCTGGCTGCACAGATTTTTAATGCGAACACACATGGACAGATAGCGTCACCGATTAGGCTGTGCACGTTTAAAAAAAAACAGCAAAGGACAACAATAACGCGATCCCTCGAGAGTGCGGTGAAAAATTGGTGAAATGGTGGAGTTGTTTCGCGGGTATATTTAGAAGCAGGTAAGCGAATTAGCTGGTTAATTAAACGGACAGTTTCGCGCACTATACTCCGCGTGCCAATCGATGGTTACTGTGTAGTATGCTCGAGACGTCGAACGATTTTCTGTTTCTCTTTTCTGTTCTGGTTGCCTTCTGTCCGCGATGGGTTTACGCACCACCGTGGTGCATTCGGTGGTGAGAATGGGACTTTAGCGGATCCACTAGGTGTCTCACCATCGAATACGACAGCGGGTTTTTAAGAATGAAAATCATTCGGGAAACCGTTCGCAACAGAAGCATCGCACGCTCGTTTAGTTCACGAAACGGTTTGTGCTCGTCACTCGTTACCATGCACCTTCGTGGATCATAACCTCTTCGCACACCACACATAAGAACCGTGAATCTTTCTCTCGAACGGCACACATGCTCGCTGACATCGCATACCTGTAGTACGTACAAAGACTTTCTATCATGTTTGTTTTTTCCTAGACGAAACCGAGTCCCGAACCCGAAAAGCGCATTCAAAAATAATGGAGAATCGGGACTAAAGAAACCAGGCGTACTCAGGTAGCTCTTCTGTCAATCGTTTGTTTTTTCAACGGTACCGTCGAATGTTTCAATCTTTTATCGAACGATTCACCATGTTCGAATCTCGATCGTGATCGTGTCGGGAAACGTGCACATCGACAGTGGATTTGATTTGTTCCAATGGAGATGACTGTTGAGACGATATTTAATATAATTCCACGGATAGTTCATACGAGGATCGATAAACAAGAGGCGATGTTAAGATTAGCTTGAACTCTCGCGTTCACGATTCTCGTTTGTTTTCGCGGGAACCGAGAGGGGGTGAGAATAATTTTATTCGAGTAATAATATGCTGAAAGATCGCACGAGCCGATGTACGAAATGATATATCGCTCTGTTCCAGGATTAATATTTCTCGCGGTTATCGGCGAAAATTCTCATACGTGGTTCTTATTTACATAGAAAATTTTTATAGTTACCGGAAGGTCATGTGACCCGGTCCACCGTTCTGTTTCCGGCTAAGATAATGCCGCCATATTTATTACCGCGAATTCGACCATGGTTTTTATTTAAATGAAAAATCCAGAATAACGATTCAAACTTATTGTCTAAATATATCCCGAATCGATACTGACTTTCTAATTATAAGATAAAACTATATTCGAGCCTGTATACCGTTTCTAGTCAATGCTTATTACTCGAAACAAATTCAAGTGTTTTAAGACCGCTGCAATGTGACTGCGAATGGTTGCGCAAATATTAACTTTTATTGTCCAAATAGACGTCCGGAAATATGTAGCAGATCAAAAATAAATATCTTATAAAATTGCTATAGATAGACAGAATCCGTAGTTTAGTTATAATGCAGTTGTTTTTCGAAATTGATAGGAATTTTAACAAATCGCTCAGCGTATGTTCATGCAAGTTTTATTTCACTCGAATTGGAATCAAAGAATTAATTATGATACGAACATTTCTTATAGCAAATAATTAATGAAACGGTTGACAAGATTATTTGTGTTCATTTCACAGCTCTGCAAATGTATATAGCCACATCTAATCCTGCAACATTATTGCAAATATTCAGAAAACAACAGCAAAACTATTTAACTGTCTAACTGACAACATCGAAACTTGACCAGGTCAACAAATTGTATACGACACATTTATGGGTTTAGGAAGATCCGTGCAGTTCATCAGGGTTAACAAACCTAGCAATTACATATTTCTCGTCATAATATTTTGCAAGGTTCTCAGTGTGTAGGTATATTTTTATGGTGATTATAGACGGTGGCAACGAATTGGGAGAGATGGCCTGGTCAGGGACGAAACGGAATCATTCGAAATGATATTTTTTCGTTTCGGAGGTGGTCCATCCCCTCCAGAGGCGGACGAAATTCCACGGTGGCTTAATACCCCCCAGCTCCCCACCATGATCCGGCCTCTATTGATTGCTCTACCGCACTACTGCCCTACTTTTATGACTTTACTCGAGCCCCTCGTCCCTCACCACCCTCTATCCGTTCCCTCGGTCCCGCTCGATCCCTCGCGCACCCCCTCCCCCCGTTGTTGTATCGTCGGAAAGAGTCATGGACTCGCACCGGAATCGAGGAACTGCTGTTCTGTTTATCGAAGTCTGCTTTTCGACTGCACCACTATGCGGAAGCGTGCCGATTTTAGCTGTTCCCGGAATTTCTGAAACACGCTTCCGCGGCGCGCTTCTACGCGTCGTTGCTGCGGCGTTCTCGTGGCCGCCTGGAATTGTCGTAGCATCGAAATTGCTACGACTATGTTCGTTATTTATTGTTTCAACGAATACGGCGACCGGGGGGAACCGTAGAATGCAAAATTTCGGCGCAGACACGGGGCATCTTGAGCCTGTGCGACGGGATCAGTTCAGTTTCTTCGAGACCGCAGGGCTGAACTTAATCTTTCGGTGAATATTCTAATTAGGAAATCGTAGGATGCAAATTTTGACGCGAAGTTCATTACATTGTAATTCGAGAACTGTGATAAAGGAAATGCAGTGTTAGAGCGTGAAAGATTATTACTGTTCTATTGATTAAACGAGTTTAGTCAATGTTTGTAAATAAGAATTAATCTAAGGACTAAACTAATAGTAATAAGAACTAATAATGAGGACTAAATATTCTAATTGGAATGTTGTGAAAGGAAATATCTTGGTGTTGGGTTCCAAAAGGTCAATAGTGTTCTCTTCGGATAGGATTCAATTTGTTGTAATTAAAACCTGAGGGGATTTAAGTAGGGAGGATTGTAGGTCGTTAATTGCACGTTCTCAAGCGAATGTTGTAATTAGAAAATTGCGAAAGGGGAAACCGTTTGGCAATGTCCACAAGTTTAATGGTGTTTGATGTCTGCGCGGATATGATCGAGATTTTCTGACTTGTTTCGAATAAACAGCGCGTTCCTACTAAAATAAATAGTTGGATCTGTAACAATAATGCACGGCCGAAGGACGAGGCGAAGCTTTTAGAACGTGGGGTTAAAAGGGCGTAGGTGTGAAGGCTCAGATACTCCAATTGTGTATCGGATATCCGAGCATGTGAGGCATTGGTATCGCATCTTTCTCGATATGGTATTGATTTAGCAAGGGAGGATAGGGCTACAGCGCTTCCACACTTCTAATTGTAAACATGTGACACACACGACGAGCATTTTATCGCACAGTACCTTACGCAGTAGACGCAACATAAAGTTATTATTATAGAGCGATTAAATTATTATTACGAGAGCAGTTACAGTACATCCCCCCGCTGTTATCCGGTACACTTTCTCGAGCGCTCTTGCAATTATCTCTGTAAACTACTATGATTCGACGCATTGGTAACAAAAATTCTTCTGTATCTTCCAATCAATGCAGGCAAATTTTAGTCTCCATTAAGTTCTCCACAATTTAATTACGTCTGTACCTTTGGAGATGGAGATGATCGACGCGGTTTCACAAAATTCGAGTACATTCGTCGATTTTTACTTAACAAACGGTTCAACTTCGAAATTCCTATACTAGCTACTTTTCTTAACAATAATTTATGTAGCCTTTCAGTTAACGAATGGAACTCGATTCTATCTAATACTATAAATCCGTCTATACTTCACACACCACTCTTGGTATTCACTCGTTAATGCTACAACCTACTTCCTTTAATTAACATATTAATGGTACTACCTGTAGATATCTCATGCTGACTTGCGCCTATTTATTCTCTGGTCTCCGTTACGCTTACTTCCATTCTCATCGTATCAATACTCGGTTACTTCTATTATATTCTTCTGCCTTGCAATGTGGCTTCTTCTTATATATCTATTCCCTCTACAAAGTTATACTAAATATTTAAAATTCCCAATATGTTTCTCACATATTCTAGACATTTCCCT